TTTGAATTACCTATTTCATCTGTTTTATTGGCCGTTAGAGTTGGCCTTGTGCTGCTGACTCATTTTTAGCAATGTGCAAGAGATGCCAGTATTTACTACCTCCGTAGGCGTTGTCTTTTTCAACTCTCCTGAGCCCATAGTTTCTTTCTTATCTTGGACACCATGTCAGCTCCTTACTGCCCACGACCTTTTTTCCTTATCAGAAAGGTGTTCCTTATGGGTCATAGCTGTTGGTTCTTCCCCCAAAGTGTTCATAGAGTATCAATTTCTGTGTATGTATAATGATAATGAAAGTCAAACTCATTAAGCCAAAATAACACCCAAAAAAACCCCAAAAGTGATGTAAGTCATTTTCCTACCCCCCAAAAAATGTACGATGTCAAGGATGTTCCCCTTCCCAAGACCCTGCCAACGCTCCACATTTCCTGTGGAAGTGTAACACACCACACAGAGGATGAGATGATTACTGTGGCTCCAACCTGGGAAATAGTTGTGTTTCTTGACCAAGTGCCATACAGGTCCTTTACTCTGGGCTGTAGTGGGCTAAAGACTCAGGTGGGGTTCCTAAATGTTCAAGTCTGGCTACTCCCCATTCCCTGGGGTAGCACTACAGATGTGCCTTGCAGAAATCTCTTCCCTCGGGGGGTTGGGGGGTGGGGCGCAGGGAGCACAGTGCATTCTGAAATGAGAATTAATATACTTTCCAAAGACAGGGCTTATAAAATAAATGGAAGGCCAGGACTGCTACCTGGGCAAGGTGGATGACAGTAATGAGCCCCGACTGGGGAAGAATGTTTTGAGTTTGAAGAGTGTGGACCAGATACCTCATGTATATGTGGAACTTTCTTAGTGTCACAATATGAAAACACTTACATTGCTGGAAGCTGAATCGTAACAGCTGTATTCCGAAACAGCAAGAAGCTGTTGGTAACCATTACGTGGGTCTCCGATGCCTTTGAGTTACTTAACCCAGGGGGAAAATATGTATAGACACAGAGTTTTGCAAATAACCTTAAGGAGTTCATAGGTCGCCCCTCCTCTCAATGATGGTCCAGGAGAAAGTACCAGAACGCTTTAGTCTAACTTGTGTTCGAGATTTATTTCGCCTTCTGGGGCAAAATACAAGCTCTATTGTAACCTTGTTCTGCAACAGAATCTGCAGTGAGAGCCTACTCAGCAGTCTCCGCAGATACTTTTTAGTTCAGAGTCTCCGTGAAATGATTCCAAATGTAAAACAACGTTCAGCTACTACAGTTAGTCATTTGCTTTTTCATGATCTGAATGTCTTTTGGTTGTGAAAATAAAACAGTCACGTCTACACTGAAAAGTGGATAGAGATAGATATCGGTGCTTGGGGGGAAAGCAGGATATGGTAACAGACTAGAAAGCATGCTCTGGAAAACAAGACATTTTTATTTAGTGTTTCCCTTGTTCGACAGGTAAAACCTCTGTAGTTTGAGAGAATTCTGATGTGAAAAAACTGTGCTGTTGTAGTTAAAAATGGAAATGAAAATGCATCTAGTCTAAACAGAAGCAACATTCCCCTGGTTCACTCGTTTTCGAGCGCAGTAGGTAGAGCGAGCTCTGTGGACGTGTTCTGAGAAGCTGCTGTATCTCAGCCTGTGTGCTGGGACCTTTTCACATGTGGCTTCTCACCTTACTCTCCTCAGTTGTACGATGGTTATGGTCACCTGCTTCCTCTAGTTTTAAGGAATGGAGGAACCAAAGAGCAACTCTAACCCTCGGCTTTGTTGTTCATTCAGTTGTTTTCAGATGGTCTATCATCCATTCACTTTTTCACTTAGAGAAATGCGGTTTATCTGAATTCTCTGTTCCTCTGTATTCACTATTATTTGCCTTCCTGTATTCCAGTACCTAGAAATAGGGCTAGCAGTTTGGGATCAATCACTTGACAGAGACAAAGCATTTTTCTTATTTTTCAAATCCAGATGATCTCAGATTAACCGGTGTCTTAGCTTTACTGATCTGAAATCCTCGCGTGGCCTGGAGGTACCCATGCGCCCCGCCCCCCCAGCTTTGTCTGTTCCCCATCTCAGCACACTCCAGTCACACTGGCTGCTTCCTGAATTCCCCTCAACAGGGCACTGTTCTCCTCTTAGGACCTTGGTTTCTGTTCCCTTGAGAAGAAACTGTCCAAGCAAAGAATCATTTAATTCCCTGTTCAAATGTCACCGAGCAGAGACACAGTAGGCTCACCGTATATGTAAAATAGCTCCTTTTATTCCCCAGCCTATCTCTTTATCATGTTTCCGCCATAAAATTTATGACTGAACTGGTTTTTTTCATATTTATTACCTGTCTTTTCCTTCTAAAATGCAAACTTCATGAGAGCAAAGACCTTGTTGGGGATGCAGTGATATAACAATGTCTGGGATGCGTGAGGTATCAATGGCATGCCGAATGAATGAACGGGCGTTTGTCTCACACTGAGATCACATGAGAAAGACTGAAGGTTCTGATTGCAGACGGTTTGGGGATTTGTTCATAATACCAAGTGTTCACTTAGAAGCAGCAAACTGCTGAGCACATAGCTAATTAGTTCAAGTGCTTTACATGTATTCGCTAATTTAATTCCTACAACCCTATGAGGTAGGTAGTATTATTACTTCCGTTTCATAGATGCAGAAATTGTGCTACAGGGAGATTGAGGAGCTTGCTTGAAGCTACATGGGTAGTAGGCGTGGAAGCAGGTGTCCGAGCCAGGGCTCTGTACTACCGAATAGAGGTGCTCAATAGACACAGCTTTACATGCGCCCGCACTCGGCTGAGCGCTTTGTCCCCACGTGTCATTTAGTTCTAACTTCTGCACTGAGGTAGGTCTGTCCTTATGCCTGTTCTACAGATGGGGAAGCTGAGGCTTGGAGAGCTTAAACAATTTTCCAAGGTCCCATAGTTGCTTAGGGATGCAAAAGGGACTTGAATGTAGACAGTATGAAATCTGTGATCTTAGACGTCATCTCCATATTATAAGAACACTTTACATTGCTCCTGGAACACAGTCATTTTGAAGTTTGTAAAGGAGGGATTGGCACCCACACTCTCGGACTCAACGGGTCTTCACTGGTGTGAAGAAGGGGTATCCATTACTTGGCCGCAGATTCATAATGAATACAGAACAGTCCAACTCAGAGACATGAGCAGGAGAAGCAGAATTTGTATCAGTACAGCCACTTGTCTCTAAGGTATAAAATAATTGGCTAAGTGTGTGTTTCTTCGGGAAGAGCCTAAGAATGGGATTTAGAAATCTAATAACTGTGAAATGTCCATTTCAGTTTCTAAAATAACCAGGGTACAATTATGTATATATTTATGTGTCACTAGGTACTGAGCTGAAATGCGGTGTATAAAGTTTAGTACTACTGTTTTGTGAAATTTACCAGTTTTTTTTTTAGACCCTGAGTACTTCCTTCAGGACTTGGAATGAGATGATGTGGCTATATTTTGTCTAATAATCAATTCCATGTCCTCAAGGAGGCATTTTCAACCACACATGCAAAACCAATATACTCACAACACAAAATGGGGAAGTAAAAATCTAGAACCCATGCATTGTTACTCTGGCTTCAAACAAAATATCCACATGAAGGGTTATGCTCGTATATGTGGAGATCAAACTTTTTTCTTCGAAGAACTCCCTAAACCCATGGAAACCAGCTGATTCAGCAGGAAGAAAGTGAGTTCAGACAATACTGTTGATCTCTCCGATCCAGCATTTTCACAGAACTTGTATATACGTACTCTTATGTACACGGTCCTGTGTGACCCCATCGGAGCTTGCGTCTGACGCTCACCCTTCCCCAAGCGTGTGGGCAGGGCGGATATTATTAAGCCACTTTACAGATGAGGAGATTGAAGTTACTAGAATTGAAAGGGCTTGCTCAAGGTCAGGCAGCTAATAAATAGCAGAGCCAGCACAGCACCTGAACCAAAGTCTTTGGATCCAAGTTACATACCTTTTCTGCTGCCCACACCTCCCCCTTGTCAAAGACAACTTGTCAGTGGCACTGTTCTAGGTTCTGAGCATTAAACCTGAAGATTTTCTTACCATCAGGTCTGCTCCTAGAAGGCAGAACCTATGGCACTTAAGAAATAATACATTTTGCCCTGGCTCGTATGGCTTGGTTGGTTGGGCCTCATCCCATGCACCGAAAGGTTGTGGGTTCCATTCCCGGTCACATCAATGTTTTCTCTCTAAAAATCAATGAAAATATTTTAAACGAAAAGAAAGCATATATTCTACTCAGGGTTTTGAGCATGTCTGTCGTTTTGTTGAGTTTCAGCCCTGCCTATGTTAAGTCGATGAAATCAGAGAGCAGTATTTATGGGCTAGAACTAACATGATATGTTTTTCAGTCATTCAGACAACTTTTATTCTGTTTCCTCGGGCAGCTTGTTTGTATCCCATGCGACAGAACCGGCAGGGATGGCATTTCACAGGGACCCGTTTCTCCTCTCCGTGTCTGTGCGCTCTGGGATCCAGCAGACTCGTTACTTCTCAGACTCTTTGTCCTTTTACCCACTGTCTTTCCTCCTGCTCCAACTTTTATTGTCTCCTCCAGGTTTTGAAAGCGTTGCGAAATTTCTCGACCATGAGCGTGTACTCAGGGAACGGAATGGACAGATAGCGGCTGAACACGCCTCCGAGCCTGGTTGTTGAGAGAGGAGGTGATTCAGCGGGGTGGGCCAGCCCGAGGCAGTGGTGGGCCGGGGCGCAGCCGGGCCAGTCCTGGCTGCTTGTTCCTCGGGAGCCCGAAGGGCCACGGGCGTCCTCTGGAACCCGCTGGCCGGTACAGGCAGTGAGGGCTCAGCTGCCATCTGGTCAGAAAGAATCCAGTTCACACCCCGGTACTGGCCCTACGGAACAGGTAGATGGTTGGATACATATTTGAACAGTCAGGCTTTCCAAAGAGAAGCACAATGTCCTCCTTGTTGACATGTAAAATGCAGATGAACTCAACCATCCTCTCTTTTCACCACAGATAAATGAGTTTGGGACGTCCCCAGACCCCGGGTCAGAATGCTGCCCCTCTGGCATGCGCTAGCTGTAGCAGTGGTCCAGATCTTTGTCTTCTCAGAAACCCGGGCATTTGCCAAGAACATCAACTTCTATAACGTGAGACCTCCTCTCGACCGTAAGTAGTGCTTCCCATCGAGGTTCATGACTGTGGGGTCGTAGTGATCATTCGCAGTTCCTGTTCCCACCTATAGTAACTTTGCCTTTTCCAGAAAATTTGGTTTCTACGTAGTAGAAGACAGAAACTCTCCACTACTTCTGAAAGGTGCTCCGTTTCTGTAAAATGCATTGGCTTCCTGCTGAAGTCTCAAAAGTTCTTGTTCAAAACAATCTCCTGAGCCCTGTCCCTAAGAATGGCATAGCAGAGGACATCCAGTGTTCTCTGTTCCTCTGCCTTGGAGAAGGGCTTGGGCTGTGGGAAGTTTCTGCATCAATGATGTATCCTCTCAATGGCCATTACATTTTTTTAAATCCTCACCTGAGGAAATGTTTTTTAAAATTTTTAATTAATTTTTAGAGAGAGGAAGGGAGAGAGAAACATCGATCGATTGCCTCCCGTATGCACCCTGACAGGGGATCAAATCCACAACCTTTTGGTGTATGGGACGAGGTTCCAACCAACTGAGCCACCTGGCCAGGGCTCAGTGGCCATTAACAATTTTGAAAACAGATTAGTATGTATGAAATTTGGAAGGAAATACACTTGGATTTTTATTAATATTATGCATGTTAGGAAAGGCTGTAGAAACTTAACTTTCCCACTAATAATTTAAAAATAAACAGCATACATTATCTATAGAATATATATTTTATATATATATATGTATGGGCATATGTGCTTGTATCCATATTCCCTCTCCCCTCCTTTCTTTCTCTTCAGACACGTAAAACTCCTCTGATAAACTATTAGAGAGAGGTTGTCACAGATACAATTTATTTGGTAGAAATGCGAATGGCTGTGGTTTCCACACCTGGAAGATTATCAGAATCATGATAAATGCCTTTAAAACTATCCATTCCCGGGTCCCTTCTCCAGAGATTCAGTAGTCAGGAGGGTGGGATGTGGGATATAAATTATGCGCCCCCCCCCCCGCCTCTTCATATAAAAAAGCTCCTGATACTACTGATACACAGCCAGGTTTGGGGAACCACAGTCTTCATACTACTGCTAAATGAAGTCTGTATAATTACTGTTCTTGACTTTGTACTTTATTATTTAGGACATTCAGTGTGTGTGTGTGTGTATCCACATATATGCCACATACATACATATACACATGTATACCACACACACCTTGAACTGTCATTTGCTATATACTTCTAAACTGGTAATAATTGTGTCCTGATAGCTTAATGGTAAGCACAGACATAGTTTTTGTAAAACCTAAATTATTGACAAATGTGAAACTTTTTAAGACTAATACAATTTTATGGTGAGAAAAAAACATTTTAAAAAAGAGAAAAAGATCTATTTTTTTTTTCTTTTGTGGTACATGTCCCTAGCAGGAACCGAACCTGGGACTCTCTGGTCCGCAGACCGATGCTCCAACCGCTGAGCCAAACCAGCCAGGGCGGAAAAGATCTATTTTAATTTAAAATACATTTTTAAAATAAAGGAACAGAATTGAAACAGACTTATAGGCACAGAGAGTAGACTGGTGGTTCCCAGAGGGGAGGAGGTTTGAGGGACTGGGTAAAAGAGGTGAAGGGATTAAGAAGTACAAGTTGGTGGTTACCAAATAGTCACAGGAATGTGAAGTACAGCATAGAGAATATAGTCAATAATATTGTAATAACTTGTATGGTGGCAGGTGGTACTTGAAATATCAGGGGGAACACTTTGTAAAGTATATGATTGTCTAGCCATTCTGCTATACACCTGAAACTAATAGAAAAATTATATATATTTTTAAGAAGTAAAAACTGCCAGTTATAAAAATAGTCACCGAAATACAGCCCAGGAATTATAGTCAATAATATTGTAATAACTATGTATGTTGTCAGGTGGGTACTAGACTTATCAGGATGATCACTTCATAGGTTATATAAATGTCTAATCACTGTATTATACATCTAAAACTAATATAATATTGTATGTCAACAACTCAAAAATAATTTTTTAAAAAATTATAAAAGAGAGAAAAACCATTTAATGTTTGCTCATTATAGAAAATTCTAAAGAGAAAGAAAACATATAGAAGAAAATAAAATTTATTCATAATCCCAAGATTCAGAGTCGTCTTTACATTTTGAAGCATTTCCTATCACTATTTTTTCTATGTTTGTATTTAAACATCTGATGTACTGAGATCACACAAATTTAATTTTGCAGCAGTTTTCTGCCATTATACAATATTTTGAAAAATTTTCCATATCTTTAAAAGTGTTTTACATTCAAAATTTTTAAAACGATATGGCTGGTCTATAGTTAATTTAACCAATTTCCCAATTATTACCAATACACACACAATCACAAGCAGGCTTTAGGTTGCACCATTTTATACTTTAGTCATCCACCAGCATTGAGTATTAGATTAAAAATTTTTGTCCATCATAGTTGACATACACTATTATATTGATTTCAGGTGTGCAAAATAGTGATTAGACATTTATGTACCTTAGGAAGTGATCCCCCCAATAAGTCTAGTACCCGTCTGACCTCGTACATAGTTATTATAATATTACTGACTATGTTCCCTGTGCTGTACTTTACATCCCTGTGCCTTTTTGTAACTAGCAATTTGTACTTCTTAATCCTTTCCCTTTTTTTAAATGAAGTATTAGTATTTTTAAAACTGTATTAATTTTATAGGTGAAAATGCGTTGCATTATTTTTTTACCTACCCAACTCACTTTCATACATAGGCAAAACTAAAATTAATAATTTTGTGTCCTCTGAACTTCAACTTTTGGTGTTTTGTTCTGGTTTTACGCATCGGTATTTATCCTCCCCTGTATCTGCAATACCCACTGCTCCCTAACTACCGTCCCAGCTGTGGTCAGGATACCAGGATCGTTTGGGGTTCACCTTGATCTGTTTCCTGTTCCAAAAAAATGGAAGAATTGAAAGTTTTACACAGGGTCTAAAGAAAAATGTCAAATGTATCCTACTTTTTACCCATTGTAATAATAAGATAAAAGGTGGGGGGAAAAACATAAAGACAAAAAAACAAACAAAAAAACCAGCAACAAAAAACAAAAGAACAGACTAGTGGCTATCAAACCAAACTGCCAGCAGCTCCCAATTCCTCCTCTCTGTAACACCCTAGCTTGAGCATAAGGGCCTGAGAATTACCAGCATCCCTATATTAAATGTCACATTCCTAGTTGAAGTCGAATCTCATTTGATATGAGGTTAAATACAGCTGTAATGGAAGCACCTGTTGGTGGAACCCAGTATGATTCAATGTGCCAGGAACGCTACTGGACATTTTTCTTGCATCCTCCTGTTTAGTCTTCATCATTACTGTTATTATACATGTTATCATTTCTTTGAAGGTAAGACTCATACAACTAATTAGTGGGAAGAGTAGAGTTCAGGCTTAGGTTAGTCTGACCCCAGCTCTTCTCAGGGACATCTTATCAAATGACTGGTTCCAGGGCTGCCTCCACCCTTGTCATCTCCTAACCTCCACTTATTCCCAAGCTGAAAATTGTAACAGAATGAAACCATGGGTGTTTCAGAGTGGCTTGTGGAATGGTTTTTATTACTCTGTAGATATTTGTAGATGGAATATTTAAAGAAAAGGGAGTAAGGCATTGCCCCAAAGTCTGGCAGTTAAGTCTAGCTCCCTAGAAACAGAAATTCTAAGGATGATGGCTTATAAATTTTGTTTGAGCTAATAGCAGGTGCTAATTGTTGCCATATCTGATGTTAAAAAAATTTTGTCTTTTCACTGTGCATTTTTCTTTAAAGCGACACCATTTCCAAACAGCTTCAAGTGTTTCACCTGTGAAAATGCAGGAGATAATTATAACTGCAACCGATGGGCAGAAGACAAATGGTGTCCAGAAAGTAAGTGTGCGGAGCTTGGAAGACCCCTTTGGGATCATACCTCGCTTAGGTGTCTCTTGACCTCCAACAGGCTGATGATGTTTAGAAATCACAGATTTCTTTAAGAGACCATCCTGACTTCAGACTACTCTGAGAATACTTGGAAACTGATGGTATAGCCTCAATTTATAGTTGTGTGTTCCTTGAGGAGGGATTTCTTAAATAGTGTTTACCCAGGGGAAAAACTAGAGGACAATGTTGGCTAAGGCATTCTAGGAATTTCAGAAATGCTTGATGTCTCCAGAAAAGTCATACTTATTGGCTAAAGCAAAGGATGGGTTTTGTCATCTTGAGATACAATGGTGCTTGGGAAACTCATTCATTTGACAAACATTTGAGTATATTTTTAGTTTGTTTAGCTCACTGATATATCCCCAGTTTAATCCAGTGCAGGACCCACATTAGGTACTCGGTAAATATTAATTGACAGAATGAATGGCTGCCTTTGATTGGGTAGCCAGTGAAATCTTCTCTGAGGAAGGTACATTGGAAAGAAGACCTGAATGACCAAAACAAGCCAGACAGGGGAGTTCTGTAAGAATGGCATGCTCATAAGAGGGAATGGCAAATCCGAAAGCTGTAAGAGGCAAGATTTGGCCTCTTCAGTGAACAGGGAGAAGGCAGGCCAGCGAGGCTCAGTGGGAGATGGAGAAATAACCTCATGGAGGTAAGGACTGGGGCACACAGGACCTTCGTTTTCTGCTAAAGAGTTTGAATGTTATTGTGATGGGAAGGCAGTAAATACAAGATGCTACTTGTGTTCTAAAATATTGCTTTTTGCTGTGTGGAGAAAGAACGGTTGGGGACAAAAGTAGAAGGGGGCACCAAGTAGGGTCTTTCACTGTCTTCAGGCAGAGAAGAGGGAGGCAGGAGTGGAGGGGGCGAGAATTTGAATGACTTCATATATATAGACGTGGAGGTAAAGCAGACGGGATGTCGGCTGGACCATTTGGAATTGAGAAACCACTTACAGGTATAAGGAGATCAGACTCTTCAGATTTTAGAAGTGCCTTTTTTTTTTAGGCTTTCAGATGTAAAAGGCCAAGAAAAATAAACTCTTCCAGAGTTTGAGATTACTAGTTTTGGTCTACTGTTACCTGGAATCTTTTGGAAATTTCTGTATCACATTATATAAAGCCGTGAAGTAGCCTCGCCCCTTCCAGATGAAGCCCGCGTGTGGAGCCAACGGAGAGTACACACTGAGGACCTGTCCTGGGCTTGAGAGTCTTATGCCGTAAATTAGCACAGTGGTTGTGACATCTCCTTACAGAGTATTTTTCATTATTTCTTTTTAAGAATAATTACCAAAATGTTTGTTCATGGGGTTCTTCTACATCTCTGTAGAGCAACACCCCGAGTGTGTGCTTGTCGAGTGTGCCCGTGCACATGTGAGGACTTGTTCACATTTTTTACAGACATTTATCTCAACTATTAGAAAGTTTCTGAGGATGGCGGATGCCTCTCTTTGCTACCTTATTTCCGAGGGTGCTGTTATTCTTGAACTATTTGCTTTAAATTCTCTGGGCAGTATGTGTTAGGACAGTAGTAATTGATGTCCATCCTCTTGTGCCGTAACTCACTGGAAAACGTTTTTCTTCATTCCTTTGAATTGTACCAAAACAGCTCCTACTAGGTCTGCGTATAACGCTCCATTTCTCATGAATTAACCAAAGCCATTCTGCGTGGGATCACACACGGGTATTTCTGGGTTTTAGAATTGTATCTGTTGAAACATGGAAACAAAAGGGGGGGCCTGCTGCTCTCCACCAGCATGAAACGTCAGCGATGGAAGGGGGAAGAAATCGGCTCTTCCACACCCGCCCTGGGAGCCGGGGAGCGTCGCGTGACCCCGCATTCCAGCGGCGTGCCAGCGCGTTCTGCACGGACCCACGCCGGCCCCAGCACACTCGCCATCTGGAATTCTGACTAGGGGTATAATTTCTTACTTTTCAGTTTGTCATTATTGAGGGAAATGATAGTCAGCCATTTCCCGGGGCCAACAGGCCTGCAGCTATTGTTCGTCGTCGTCTCAGATTTCCTTCCCACCTTGCAGCTCTGTTTCTGTGGTCTGCTGGTGTTGTTAAAAGAGGTGCTCTGTGCAGCAGGATATGACAAGAATGACAGTTCCGATTTTGTTTACTCTGGCTTTTATTCTGACTTTCTGGGGATGCGTTAGCATGTGTGACATTTTATATGAACACGTGTCGCTACCAGTTTTCGATTTGTCTTTGTGTGGAGTAGAGTTGAAATGCCTTTCCAAAACATTTGATGGTTCCCTTTCCTTCCGAGCTCAGAAGTCAGCCACTCTTGTAGCGCATGTTACAGCACCATCCAGTTTAATGGTAAGTATACTGAGAGGCAGAATAGTGTCTGGTTAAGAGCATAAACATTGCAAAACTGCCTAGGTTAGAATCCTACCACTTTCTACCTGTGTGAATGTGGACAAGAAACTGTGCTTCAGGTTTTTTAAAATCTGTAACATGAGGATATTAATATGCCTCATCTTAAGGCTTCTTGTAAGGATTGGAAGAGTGCCTGGTGGTACCCACTCAACATGTGTTTACTACGGTTATTATTGGTTAAAACTTACAACAACACTATCAAAAGGCTGGTGCTTTTATCATAATTTTACTTAAAAGAAAATGAACCTAAAGCAATCTTAATATTTGTGTGGAACCACAAAAGACGCTGAATAGCAAAAGCAATTCTGAGAAAAAGGAACAAAGCCAGAGCTATCACACAGCGTGATTTCAAATTGTAGTCATCAAAACATTGTAGTAGTGACAGAAAAGCAGACACACAGACCAATGGAACAGAACTGAGAACCCAGAAATAAACACATATGTAGGCAAATAATTGATGACAAAGATACAAGGAGATACAGTGGAGAAAGGACAGTCTCTTCAATAAATGATGTTGGGAAAACTGGACAGACATATGCAGAAGAATGAAACTGCACCCTGTCTTACACCATACCCAGAAATTAACTCAAAATGGAACAAAGACTTGAATACAAGACAAGAAGCAATAAAATACACAGAAGAAAAACTAAGCTTCTGGACTTTGGTCTCAGTGTTGTTTTTGCATATTTGTCTCCAAAGACAAGGAAAACAAAAGCAAAAATAAACAAATAGGATTACATCAAATTAAAAAGCTACTACACAGCAAAGGAAACCATCAACAAAACAAAAAGGCAACAAACTAAATGGAAGAAGCTATTTGCAAATGATACTTCCTATAAAGGGTTAATATTTCTAATAATAAAGAATTCAAACAAAACCCAAACAATCCACTTAAAAAATGGACAGAGAATCTGAATAGACACTTTCCCCAAGAAATACAAATGGCCAACAGATATATGAAAAGATGCTCAACTTCCCTAGCTATAGGGGAAATGCAAATCAAAACCACAATGAAGTACCACATCACACCTGTTAGAATGGCTATTCTCAGTAAGGCAAGAACAACAATATTGGGAAGAATGTGGAGAAAAAGGACCCCTGGTGGGAATATAAACTGATACAGCTACTATGGAAAAGAGTATGGACATACCTCACAAAATTAAGAATAGAACTACTATTCAGCAACTACTGATCCAGCATTCCTCTTATGGGTATTTATCTGAAGAATATAAAATCATAAAGATATATGTACCCTTATGTTCATTACAGCATTATTTATAATATCCAAGCTATGAAAGCAACCTAAGTGTCCACTAATGGATGAGTGGTTAAAGAAGTGTGGTACATATATACAATGGAATACTATTCAACCATAGAAAAGATGAAATATTGCCATTTGTGACAGCATGGATGGACCTTGAGGGTATTGTGCCGAGTGAAATAAATCAGATGGAAAAGAACAAAAAATATGATTTAATTCACCTATGGAATATAAAACCAAAAAATAACAAATGAACGAACAAAACAAAACAAAGATAGTCATAGATACAATAGACCAGTGGTTGGTTACTAGAGGGGAAGTGGAGGAGGGCAAACTGGGTAGAGGGGTCAAGTACACGGTGAGGGAAGGAAACCGTGGTGGTGAGCATGCAGTAGAGGGTGCAGATATCGCATTCTAACGGAAATTTACATAATGTTAATAACCAGTGTTACTTCAATAAATTTGAAAAATAATAGTAAAAATTAAAAATGACCTTAAAGGAGCTAATGTGGCTTGCTTGCTTGTGACAAAGACAGTTTCATAAGTTTAGTATTCTCAACTTTAGTCAAATACTTGTTCCCATTCTATGATAGTTCTGCTGCAGAACTAAAGCACACTCTTCTGGGGTATTGAATGAAATCACTTTTTTAAAAGAACCCTAAGTAATAAAATGTGAGTGGTTAAAGCTATAAGGATAACTCCATGTAGAAATTAGTCAGCTATAAGGGGGTGGGGAGGGAACAGGGAAAATAATAGTTAATTAAAGAAGAGGAGAAAAATAGAAATACTTTGAATAAGGAAGGTGGTTTTGAAGTGTACTTTGAAGCATCTGCTTTTCATTCCACACGGACTATTAATGTATCCAATGTTGAATAATGCAACAAGTGTTCTGATCCATTGCATTTTAAATGAACATTTTTCATTTTATTTTAGAGTCCTAGAACATGTGCCCCAGAGAGAGAGAGGAGGTGGAGACAGAGATACTGACACTCTCACATGACATGGGCACACCTGTGGTTCTGATGAAAAGCTTGTCCGTTTTCCCTCAGCTCTAGCTGGCACCGAAGGACAGGTGCCCATTTATATTCATTTTCAAAATACACACGTGCTTCGGAAGTGCATGCCTTTTCAAAACACCACCTGCGTACCCTAGAGTTCCCAGCCACTGTATTTCTTGCCTAGAAACCCAAGGAGTATCCTGAATCGTAGTCCTTTCTGAAGTGATTGTTGAGCGTCTCTCTTTTGCAATGTGAAAAATGAAGTCGCCTTCCCTTGTCTTCCTGCCTAGATACGCAGTACTGTCTGACAGTTCACCACTTCACCAGGCATGGGAGAAGCACCTCCATCACCAAGAAGTGTGCCTCCAGGACCGAGTGTCACTTTGTTGGCTGCCAGCACAGCCGAGATTCTGAACACACAGTAAGGGGAGAGCACATATGTGTGTGTGTGTGTGTGTGTGTGTGTGTGTGCGCGATGTCACTGTCCTGAGGTTTCTTGCTAGTCACAGGGAGGCGGGAAGGACAAGTGATAGGGCGAACATGCTTCCACCGTGAGGAGACTCCTTTGCAGTGATGCAATGGAGACCAAAGAGAAGTGGAAGACTTTCTGTTCTTTAACAAAAAAGAATGTTCCTGAAAGTGAATGACAGTTCCCCGACTCCAGGGCTAGACCCTAGACCTTGGACTTCGGGTGAATTTTCCTGAAGTCAGGTCCAGAAAGCCAAGAATAAACCATCCATGAGAATGACAAGTACCACAAAGCTTAGCGCACCTGGTGTGTTTATGGCCAGAAATCACCAAGAACACCGCACAGGGAAGCTGGAACGGGGCAAGAGGAGGATGGTGGCACCTTTTCCTAACAAATTCTCACCCACCACCTCTGCTTACACGAGGGAGTGAGAGTCTGAAAGATTAACCTCAGTTGAATACCATGAACTGCAGATACACTTTAGATCGAACTCTCTAATTTTCTCATTCTATCATTCTAAATGAGCATTTTCCTTTTGTATATGTCTGGAATCCTGAAATGTTTGAGAAAAAAATTACTCGAGAGAATGTTAATTTTATGAGGTTTTAGAACTTGACTGAGCCCCTATGTACAGAAAATGGTTCTGATGCTGGTGGCGTCTAGATGAGCTACATCGGAGAACCTCCTGGGAGCTTTAATAAGCTCTGTTGGTGAGGGTAGGGTGGTGTCCCAGACCAATGGAAACAGAATGTCAGGGTGGGGTCCTGGGCATCAGGACCTTTTTTTTTTTAAAGTCCTCCAAGGAGATTCGGATGTGCAGCCTAAGTTAAAAACCACCGAGGATACGAGTCGCTGCCTTTATCTTCCCTAGCCATCTCGGAAGCCTCTCTGAGTGGCTAGGATCACCAGGTTGACACACTGTACCAGTTACTATGGCAGGAGATGGCTTCCCCTGAAAACACCGCGTGCTATCAGGGAGCAAGCATTTTTCATCACCCAGCAACCATAATTAGGAAGCCACCGCTGCTGTAATGATGGTAATCAGGTGTTAGTGTAAACAATAGAGGGTCATTATTATGCCCTAACAAGGGGTACCGAGAAAGGAAATCAATGACCAATCTAAGATGTTCCTAGCTTTCAGTTTTGTTTGAGTGGTTTTCCTTACAAATCTTTAGAAGATTAGTTGACTCAATCAAACAGTCTTATTCAGTTTCCCTTCCTCTTCTTTCCCTTGCTGATGCTTGGGTTGATATAGATAAATCACAGTTAAAAAGAAAATATCCCCTAGATGCTCCTCACTTTCAGTGGAGGGAAGGCTACCCAAGGGCCTGGGTGACTCACAGACGGGTTAACTAATTCTGTCTGTCCTCAGAGCTCAGGAAGCCTTTCTTTTGTCTTTTACTTGTTTGTTTCACCTTTCCTTCTTCTTCCTATTATTCATTCTCTCATTCCCCTTATCTTCCCTCTGTGACAGGAGTGCAGGTCCTGCTGCGAGGGGATGATCTGCAATGTGGAGTTACCCACCAACCACACCAACGCGGTCTTCGCCGTCATGCACGCTCAGAGAACGTCCGGGAGCAGTGCCCACGCGCTCTGCCTGCCCCTGCTTGCCTGGGCCTTCACGCTTCCGCTGATATGATGCCGCCATTCCTAGGAGGAGCAGAAACCAGCCCCCTGAAACACAAACTGAAAACTGTGTCAACAGTGAACTTTTGAGCGGAGACCAATCTTGCAGTTGGTGGAGAGTACACATTGACTCCAAAGCAGAACACAGTTGTTTGCTTTTAAAATGCTCCTGCATGAGGCCATGGCATCAAGGAAGGGAATTTGGCCCAGACCTTCAGGATTCCAGGTCAAAGAGGGTGCATTTTGTCACTGTTGCAAGGAGGATCCTGCCAGCATCCCCAGCGGGCAGGTTGTAGTAGCCTGTTGTCCCCGCCGAGCAGGTCATTAGCTGAAAGGACTGACCCCTTGACCTCACCGACTCCTTCAGAGGCTGCTGGGTCAGGGCCTCTCTTGCTGTGATTAGCTCAGAGTGTCTCTGGGAACCCTAACCCTTCCCCCGACAAGAAAGCAATTTCCCTGCCAATGTGTAGCCAACGACAAAGGCAAATACAGTCATCCCTCGCTTAACACTGTTAATCAATTCCAGACTCTAGCGGTTGCACCTGGCGTTGAGGGATTCCTAGGGTGCTCGAATCCATAGGCCTACAGTCCATACATACAGTATTTTTAATTGTAATGCAGGGGTGTATAACTGACTCAGACAACCAAGTGAGCGCTGTATCATTTTCACTGTCTTGATCAACTTTTTAATGAATATATTTGAGAAAACCGCGATAGAGTGAAGCTGCGAAAGTCAAAGTGCGAAGTGGCGGGGGACGACTGTATAGGAGAAAAACTTCAACTGAACTCTTATGAAACCCATTTGCTAATTGGGGGGGATGGGATAAAGCTTTTAAATTATACAGTGTTAAATGCATGCCTGTGTGTTTCTTGACTAAATGAAGATCTCCGGTTGTACGCATCTACCAGTGTCATAAAGGAGGTCACTGAAGTTATGTCTTCCATGCACCCTCGGTGATATTTTCTGGCTTAAAGGATAACATTTCATGTCAAAGCAAGTAGTATTTTTTTTTGGTGGGGATGATAAATGCAAAAGTAGTGAGTTGAGGAGGTCAGGAAACCTCCCTGATCAAGGAGGATGATAACTTATCACTTGATGTACCCTCAGGAGTAGCAGATTAACATCAGAGAACCTGGCAAGATGGTCCTCCTTCCCCACACAGTCAGCTTCTCTCTGAATGGCAGGGCCACCAAGAGAACCTTTCTAAAAACATCCTAAAACATTTTGTCTTATCGCCTCCCTTTCCTTTTATAATCGTCTCAGAATTTCAAATGAGCTCCTCCTTTTATTCTTAGATTCCCGATTTCCTGCCTTTAAACACTCTGCCCCTGTATGTATAGTGATGAGTTAATGGAGACATGTTTGTTTTGTTTTGTTTTTAAATCCTCACCCGAGGACATTTTTCCATTTTTTGTTCAGATAGAATGGGGGGGGGGAGGGGGAGAGAGGAAGAGAAACATCCACATGAAAGGGACACATCGAATGGTTGCCACCCACACGACCCAACCAGGGCCGGAGACAAACTGCAACCGAGGTACATGCCCTTAGCGGGAACCGAACCCAGGTCTCTCAGGACCGCAGGCCGATGCTCTAACCGCTGAGCCAAACCAGCCAGGGTGAGACGTGTTTGTTTTTAATTGAGCATCCACCATTAGGACACCAAGTGCTTCACAGAATCCATTAATGATGCCATCCTTACCACGTGCACTCGCCTGTGATGGGAATCGGCAAATTATGGCCCATGGGCCACGTGTGTCTCACCGCTCTGTCTGCTACACTGCTGCAACATATATACTATTGCGTGGCTGAAACAAAAATAGTCAGTCCTCACAGTTCTGGGAGCTGGGAAGTCCAAGATCAAGGTGCTGGCAGATTGGTGTTTGGTGTGTACCCTCATGCTGGTGTGCAGAACACCATCCATTTGTCTGCTCACGGGCAGAGAAGAGGGAGAGAGCTCCCTTTCCTTCACTTCCTTTTAAGGGCACTAATCCCATTCATGAGGGCTCTACATCCATGACCTCATTCTCTCTCAAAGGTCCCCGTCCAAATACCATCACATTAGGAATTTAAGATTCAACACATGCATTGGGGTGGGAGGGCACATGTAGTCCATAGCAACTATTTATTTTTGTGAATAAAGTTTTATTGGAACACAGCCATGTCTTTTCATTTACATATTGTCTATGGCTGCTTTCATGCTACAATAGTAAGGATGAGTCGATAGATGCAGCAGAGTGTGTGTGGCCCACAGAGCCTAAACGTTTCACTGCCTCATCCTTTACAGTAGAAGTGCTGACCTCTAACCCCCGAAATGGTAAACCTGCATTGGGGAAAACTGCTTGCTTTGCAGGGACCGTGGTGCTCATGGTGGTTACTCAGCCTCTGAAGGGTTTGCCAAATCACTTCCCTTATTTTCTTCGTCTTCGCATCAGTGATTTTTCTTCTCTGTTTTGTTTGTTCCACTTGTTTGATTTCATCTCTTAGCAGGTATGTGCTGATGTCAGGTTCTGGGCCGTGTGTTTGTTTTTTCTCGTCATTGACGCATGGGAGCGTCTCAACTTAAGGCTCTTCAGCTGCCAATAAAACAGGGAGGAGGCAGGCACCATTATCTCCTTGCCTCTGGTTCAGCCATAGACTCACCTGGAAGCATCCGTTTTGAAGCCTGCTATAGATTTATCCCACCTTTCACTCAGCACCTTGAAGTATTTGAGTTTTCATAACGCTGCTTGTTTGAAATTAATTATATATGGCTTCACTTGGAATATTTTAATAGCACCTTTGCTGTCTTTTTATTCCTCAGGGTTTCTTTTGACTGTGTAATTGACAAATCGTCTGGTTAAAAAAAACCATTAGCAGACATTTTCTCTCTGATTTTGTTTCTGCTGTCTAGATTAATGAATTTTCCTGTGTGTGTGTGTGTTTTCTTTCCTGAGGAAACATCTTAATTTTCCCTTCTTCACCCCCACACGTCATCTTTGCATGGATTTCAGTCCTCACCACCACGTCCATAAGCACTTCAACTAGGGCTATGTTGAGCAAAAGACAGAGAAGGCACAGAGGACACAACTCATGGCAGAGACAGCCGAGGAAGTACAGGTGCCAAATAAAGACGTGGAATGATCCACTGAATCTGAATTTTAGAGAAACAGCAAACAATTTTTTAGTATAAGTCCTTCGTGAACTCCTAAGTCTGGCTCATCTAAGGCAATGTTTCCAAGTCTTTGTAATAAATCAGAATCCTTTGTGTAACTTCAGAAGGACATTCTCAGGGCACCCTGGGGACGTTGATTCAATAGATCTGGGGTGAGGTGCAAGCCTAACCCCAATAATTGAATGTTAATTTAAAAAAAAACAAAAAAACTCTCAGGTGATTGTCATGTTAGCCAGGTTACCCTTCACCTGAGGGGCTCACTCCTTCCTTTGGAGCCCAGTCCTTGACCACATAACCGAAATGCTAATGAATAAGAAATATATGCACAAGTGACCCGGGTTACAGTGGTTCTCAAAGTGTGGTCGCCAGACCAGCATTACCTAGAAACTTGTCAGAGATGCAAATTCTCCATTTCAGACATCGAATCGGAAACTCTGTGGGTTCAATCTGCATTTTATTAAGGCCTCCAGGTGCCTCTGATGCACACGCAGGCTTGTGAACCACTGGAGCAGAGAAGTGCTTTTCCAAATGTCTTCAGTAAATGGGTCCCCGGTGCTGCATCATGAGCATCACTCAGGGAGATTATAAAAAAGAGAAGACCCCAAAAAGGAAAAAGAACAAAAATAAAGAAATTGGAACTCCAGAGAGTTATATTTACTATGTTTGAGCTGCGTCAGAAAATCTGTATTTTTAACAAACACCTCAATTAGTTCTGATACACAGCCACTTTGGGAACCATAAACTAGAGAATAAGAGATGGGCGCAATGTTGGTGACCAGAAGGCCCAGACTCCAACACCTGATCTTCAAGTTCTAATATGAATGTCCTATGCCTTATAAGTTAACTCTATGTGGTGTCTCCAATGTCATTTAAAAAACCAGAATACAAAAGATAAATCCAATCATTAGAGTCTATTACATGAATTTTTTTAGTCCATTGCATAGGGACACTGGGATGGCCAAGTACCCCAGGCCTCAGCCTAATTTAATTTGCTGCTAGCGAGCAAGAAATCAGAAATACTTTGTTGTCAAAGTACAGTGAGAACTGGGGTAGTGAGGGCAGGAGAGGAGGGGAATGTGTGGATTTGTTGTCATAAAAGAGACACAGGGATTAGCTATAAATATGAGGAGGGTCTGAAAGAATGGCCTGTCAGAAGACCATTTTGAGTAGATCAGCATTCTAGAATAAACTTTGAATTCCCATCCATCAGTTACTTTCTAAAAGAGAGAGAGAGAGAGAAAAAAAGGTACCGAAAACACTTTTACCCCAGCTACATCTAAACTTTCCCTAAAGCCAGCTCAGTGAAGTTCATCGTCATCACAGGTATTATTTTCCATACAATCTGCATTCTGTCGTGTCAGTCACTGTGTACAATACATCTCATAAGAGGGAAGGGGGTGGGCCATTCTTTCTCACTGGGAAGGAACTTATAACACCCTGCAAAGCATGACATGAGCAGTAGGAACCGGCCTGGACTTGGGAGGTGAGGTGCGGAATCAGGAAAATGCATTCCACGATCGTGAAATTACTAACTAGTATGCAAAATTCTTGTGACAGGTAGACTGTGGTCTTATAACACCTTGCTCTGACCTTTGAGTTCTGGAAGTTTTATTTTTGACCTAGACCGTGTGATTTGCGGAGGGTCCCATAGGGATGCTGGGTATGCCTGGGTACAAGTTCCGTCTGAAGACAAAGGCTGGTGGGCGCTGCGGAATCGAGGTCAAGTGGCTGTTGGACTCTGCGTCTGTCTGTAGGGCGGTTCCAGGGCTGTGCCTCGAAACAGTCAGGCATCTCTTTCCACTCTTCCCTGCGCCTTCATAATTCCGCCTACTTCCCAGCCCCCCTCCCTCACTGCCTTGGCCTCGGAGCCGTCTTTGGAGTAATCCAGAATGCAAGATAACCATGGATTAGACCGTGGAAAATAGGGTTTTTGCAGCCTGATCCCGAATCTGCACTTTTAACAGGCATCTGACCATGATCCGGGTGATTCTGATACTGGTAGTCTTAGGGCATCATCTTAGAAACAGTAATCAGGGCCTCAGCGTGAGGCTGGAGATGCTTCCGTTGAAAGCCTCGTGCAATTCCTAACCCTCTGCACGTGCTCGTTTCTGGTCTATGAAAATGGGTCGCAGCAGGGGGCTGGGAGCGCCGAGAGGACACTGGCTGGCAGGGCTCTGCCATGTCGGGAAGGGGCCTGGGAGGCCTGGGACATGTGGGAGCTGCGGGGGGATCCTGGGGGCTCTTCCAGGCAAGCAGGACGCCCAGGTGCTGACCACCGACTGGACTCCCCGCGAGTCGTGGCTGAGTGAGGCAGCAAGGAGCCCGGAAAGGGCAAGGTGAGCCTCTCACAGGGGCTAAGCAGACACTGAAAGTATT